AAATGTTCATCATTACTGGATATTATTCCTTCCACTAGATCATTATTTAGTCCTATTTAGAGAATAAAAAAGTTTAAGTCCTACATTGGGAAAGTCATTATGTTTTAGTCCTATTTAGTGCAAATTTTACATCTAATAATACCCTTCTCTCTACAATTTGTTTTCTTTCTTGTAAGTAACCTGTGGTTCTCAACAGCTACTTGTGTTTTTGTATGTACGTATGTAAAGGTTTTTGCTAAATTCACAAGGCGCTCAAGTGATCTGGAGCTTGATCGTGGTGTGCATGGATTGTCGGACGACGGCCTTGTTTGGCGGCGGTAACAGGCGGCGGCCTTCCCTCCTCCGTGTCAGGTTCACCTGCATGTTTGACATGGTAAGTACCGTACGTCACTTTATTTATTCAACGTAACTACTCGGTATTTATTTTATTATTTTTAATAATAATAATAATAATTGAGTAATTTTTAATGTAGTGGAAAAATTATGGGGAATATAATTTGAATAGTGCATGCATGCATGAATATAATTTTTAATGAGTGTTTTTTCTTTGGGGACTCTAAGCTCAGCGGCGGGTGTGGTGGATGTGCTCTCCAGAGAATCATTGTGCGTCCACGCTTCGAAATCATGTAGATTGTTCCTGGTTTCCATTGTCATGGCATTTCTCGCTTGGTCTTTGCAGGGAGCTTTGTATTTCATCATGTTAAGGGTTGTAATGCAATCACTTTAGAGTTTTTTTTTTAATTTAAAAAAATTAATCTGCATGCATGCATGCACGCACTTGTGTAATATAATTAAGTACCCTTCATTTCCTCCTTTTGGCATGCATCATGGGCTTGTATTATTAGTGTCCATTATTGAACTTGCTTCAATTCTTTCTTCATCTTTCAAAAGTTAATTGATTCCTTGATTTCATGATTTTTATATGTGACAATCGATCACGAACAACATGGTAAAGTCAAATTGGCACTAAATAGGACTAAAACATAATGACTTTCTTAATGTAGGACTTGAACTTTTTTATTCCCTAAATAGGACTTAATAATGACCTAATGAGAGGAATAATATCCAGTATTGATTGACATTTAGTTGAATAATGACTACGTGATAATGACCAAAGGTCCTACATTGAGAAATAAAAACATATGGTCTTATATTGAGAAAGTCATTATGTTTTAGTCCTATTTAGGTAAATTTCTCCATGGTAAAACCTGGCAAAACGGACAAATTTGCTTGTCCAAAATCGAATCTGAAATGACACGAAGAAATGAATGCTTGATCAATAAACGTTATAATAGATGACCGGCCCGAACTGAATTACAACAAAAATAAATTTGGTAAAATCCGAACTAGACCCGAACCAAAAACACAACAAATAATCGAACCAAATGAAACTCGTATTTGGTAGCTTTCCGTTCAACTTATTTTTTCTGCTTATTACTTATTCTCATTATAATCAGACCAAATCATATCAGACTAAATCAGATCTGAAACAACTTTAATTATAAATGAAATCAGGTCAAATCAGACCAGATCAAATTTTCAAAAGACCAGATCAGATCAGGCGAATGAAACGCAACCTTAATCAGTCCTACTTTGAGTTTAAATTAAGTCCTCAAAATAAGATATTTAATCAATTTTTAAAATATTATACTCCCTCCGTCCCATAAAACATTTCCTGTTTCAAAAAAAAAGCGCGCCCTTAAAATGAGTAATTTTGGTGTTATTTTCTAATTTTGCCCTTACTTTATAAAAGGGTAGGATGAGATGTGTAGAATAGATTAGTCAAAATTTAAAAATAACACTAAAATTACTCATTTTAAAGGCGTGCCATTTTTGAAACAGGAAATATTTTATGGGACGGAGGGAGTACAAGTGTTTTTGGTCTAACTGAACATATTCCGCAAGTCCAAGTGTCATCGAGCCCAGGCTGCCCAGCCCAATAAAGTCGATGCTGCAGTAATACTACGCAAAAGTAAACAAAACAAAGGGAGTAAACCCAATATTCATATCATGTTTGCAAATTGCAGTTCACCAGTTTTTTTTAATCTTATTTTGCAAGATTATAACTTTTTCTTTATTTATTTTAAATTTTACTACATATCATACCCCCTCCGTCCCATAAAACCTTTCTCCTTTCTTTTTTCATCCGTCTCATAAAACACTTCTCATTTCTATTAAAAAATCACTTTTACCTCAACGAACTTGTTAGCCAGACACAGCTCGACCCCAACTAGGAGGCATTGGAATGGCATTAAACATATTTTGCGATATCTCAATGGTACCATCGACCTTGGTTTATTCTACCGCAAAGATGCCAAGGCCACTCTTGTTGGATACGCTGATGCAGGATATTTGTCTGATCCACCAAAAGCAAAATCTCAAACAGGATATGTGTTTACTTATGGAGATACCGCAATATCATGGAGATCGATGAAGCAAACTTTGACTGCCACATCATCAAATCACGCGGAGTTGATAGCTCTCTACGAAACAGGTAGAGAATGTGTATGGTTGCAATAAATGATTCAACATATCCAGAGCGGGTGCGGTATAGAAACAATTACTAGTCATCCGACTCCTATATATGAAGAGAATACTGCATGCATTGCTCAAGTGAAAGGAGGTTGCATCAAAGGAGACCGAACAAAGCATATATCACCAAAGTTCTTCTCAACACATGATCTCGAGAAAGATGGAAAGGTTGACATCAAGCAAATCAAGTCCAGTGAGAACCTTGCTGATTTATTTACAAAAGCGTTGCCCCCAAAGAAATTTGAAGAACTCGTACACAAGATTGACATGCGTCGCCTCCGTCAATTATGCTAAGCTGAGGGGGAGAATTTTATGAACTGTACTCTTTTTTCCTTGATCAGGTTTTTATCCCACTGGGTTTTTCCTGACAAGGTTTTTAACGAGGCAGTACATAAAATTAGAATGAGTTACTAAACTATGCCCATTTATGAAGTACCCATCATTAATTGAAAAATGAACATTCAAGGGAAGTGTTATGAAATTAATGATTGTTCATTTATTCAATTAATCAGACCTACTTTCTAGAATAGTAGATTAAGACACTAATTGATGAACATTAATTATGTACAGTAGTTCTCACTTGTATTTGTATTCATACCAAGCCTCTCTACTATAAATAGAAGCTTAATCCTTGCATTGTAATCACAATTAAGAATAAGAAGAAGAGTGAAGAATTAATAGAGAGAAAAAATCAGAAATATATTATATCTATTCTCATAATCTCTGAGTAGTTTTTCTATCATTTTATAACAGATGTATGAATTTTATTGTCTTAGTGTCCATGTCCTATTTTTCACTACCTGTCTAGAAGGTGGTCACAAATAAAACTAGTAAAGCCAACCCATAAGTGGTCACGACATGAAGATGGTCTGTACCACTTGGTGTCATGATTTAAATTCTTTTAAAAAAGATCCGAGCCACTAAGATTTTATGGAGTATTGGTTTGGGTTGAAAACATATACTAAGACTTAGAAGAAGAAAATTTTGAAGGGTTGAAAGATGTTAGAAAAGGCTAGGAAAAAATGTTAATAATTGAAAGAAATTTGAAAGAGTTGAAAGAGTCTAGAATATGTAATTAACAAATGAAGAAAATCAAGTGTTTTAAACTAAATATTATATCCTTGAATTCTTTATTTTATTAAAATGAATTGAATAGTGTTAAAAATGAAAGGGTAATTCCATAAATAATCTTTTACAATAGGTGGATTTCCATACATATAATTTAGTCAGTCTCAAAATATTATTAGCATAATCCTCTTTTCCGTAATTTAAGGATCATATCCCTCCATCACTACTAATGTTATCTACCCATTCAATGTATGGTATAAAATGTGATTTCTCACTCTCTTCTCTCAATTAAACCCCTGCCTCATCCTCGGCAAAACTTAGGATGGTGTGTAAATTAAAGAAGTCATTGTATCTGTTGGTTTGTAAAAATTATCAAGTCCTTCAAAGAAGTACTCCCTCCGTCCCAAAAAGTTTGTTACGTTTAGAAAAAACTGCGTCCCGTAAAGTTTGTTACCCATCACATCCTACTTTTATCTATCACATCAAGAGTATTTTTGGAAAGTCAATACCAAAATATTCCTTCCTTAATTTCTCAAAAAGTCAAACCGTCTCATTCTTTTTGGGACGGAGAAAGTATGACTTTATTACGCATTCAGTTTCTAACTACTCTCTCCTTATGTTGTGCAATACTCATGAGGTGGTACATGTCTTGGTCTATATTATTGATGATTTGGTTATCCTGGGTAACAACACAATTAACTTTGATGGTCAAGTTTAAATCCCAGTTGGGTTATTGTAAAATATATGAATGAATGATCGTGGTACTTTAAAGTATTTCCGGGTATTTTCTTGTGTCAAATAAAATAGGGTAATTTATCTAAATACGACTAAAACATAATGATTTTTCAACATAAGATCATATGTTTTTATTTCCTAATATAGGACCTTTGGTAATTATTTATTAGTCATTATTCAACTAAATTAAATGACCAGCATCACTTGGACATTATTCTTCTCACTAGTCATTATTAAGTGCAAATTTCACAATAAAATAATACTCCCTCCGTCCCATAAAGTGTTACCCATTTTGACTAAAGTTGAAATTAAGGGAGTGATAATTTTGTGTTGACTTTCCAAAAATACCCTTGATGTGATGGGTAAAAGTAGGATGTGATGTGTAGATTATTAGAAAAAAGGTATGATGTGATAGATAGGGCTTGAAAAAGTAAGGGGTAAAAGTGGTTTTTTAATAGAAATGAGTAAGGGATTGTGTGACGCAATTTTTTTGAAACGTGTAAATCTTTTTGGGACGAAGGGAGTACAACGTAGAAAACGAGTACCCACTATGATATTAGAAACCAAAAAGTAAAAATGGTTGTAATAAAACAAATCATTGAGACCATCTAATTCAATCCATTGTTTGGGGCTCTGCAATTTTCTTCGCAGTGTTCTTCGGTATCCCAACACCCAAGTAGAAGGTAGCACCAACAACCGCCACGTCCATCATCACATTTGCCCCGTGCACAAAATGTTGGAATGTTAAGTTTCACTTCACTTTTTGGAACCCTACTACCTGTTCAAATATATATATAAATTAAATAAATAAAGAGGAATTTACTTAAATAGCACTAAAACATAATGACTTTCCTTAAATAGCACCACATGTGTTTTTCTTTCCAATATAACACTTTTAGTCATTATGCATTAGTCATTATTCAACTAAATATTCGTCATCACTGGACATTATGGACATTATCAAGTGCTATTTATGCAATAAAACAATTTAAGTGCTATTTAGAAAAATAACATAAGTTTTAGTACTATTTAGTGCAAATATTTCATAAATAAAAAGTTAAAATGAAGTTTTTGTTTTTTGAGACATAAGATAACGCATATATGTGAAACCGAAAAATCGACGAAATTAAACGAGTTAAAGAGAGTCATACTTACATTCGTATGGGTTAAAAAGAGTTGATATTGTGAGGCACAAAATCAGCAAATATTTGAAGTTCATAGCGGCCATCGTTATAACCTCTTTTGTGCTTTTTTTTTCTTCCAAGGAATTAATTTGGTAATAGTGTCCGTATATGTTTTTCTTGTATGACAAAATGCATACTATAAATTAAAGAGAAAAGAAGAAAATTAAAATAGGAACTAACGTAGGAAAACATTCATATATACTTACATTGGTAGGAGCTAAAGAGACTTGAAGTTGCGAGGCACAAAATTATAAAGATGGTGGCCCATTTTTGTAAAGAGTATAATAATAGAGTATCAAAAGAGTATAGTAAAGGAGAGCTTCACCATATATGAGTAAAAAGATGCAAAATAACAAATAAATTAAATTATAACAAATAAATTAAATTAAAACCAGTAGGTCACGAGAAACACAGGAAATTAAAATATCTACTTCTCCCTCCGTCTCATTTTGTTTACAGATTTTTTCTCTCCTCTCGATAACTTTATTTATTTGTATGTTTTCATTGATTATTTGATAAAACAAAATACTCTTGTCACTTCTTACTTTATAAAACTTTTATGTAGTTTTTAAATATGTAATTTTTATTTTTTATGTATCAATTTGTAAATAAATAATTTCAAAAGTCATAAAATTTTACCACGTAATCCCCAATTTGCAATCAAAATTAGACGGAGGGAGTATATCAGTTAAGCAAACGGTGCCATCAATAACTTTCCATCATCCTCACTTCCAACTCAGTGCCACATCAACTCTCCTCATTTCATCCCCATTCAGGGATGTCAATCCTCATTATATTCTATCCCTTTTTTTTTTTTTGCATATTACTTTTATGACATTTTATGTTATTGTTTTAATTAAACTAAAATAAAATTTGATATGATATTAAAAACTGAAATTAAAAATTTTAAAAAAATGAAATCACAAGAAGAAAGAAACAAAATAAAACTGAAATTAAAAGCCAAAAAACTGAAATTAGAATAATAAACTGAAATTAAAAACCAAAATGTAAAACTTTTAAAAGAAGAGCAAGAAAAAAACGAAAGAAGAATAAGAAAGGGTAAATCCCGACTGAAAGGGTGGTCTCCCCGTCGGGATCGTGCGCCACGTCGGCCACGCCGACTCCACACCACGTAGCCTTAATGAGTATCGTGTCCCCAGAGCAGAGAAAAGAATTGAGAAACCAGTAATGTCCAGACAAAGTTGTAATCTTAATTTATTGGATGTTAAATATATTAAATATATTTAATATTATTGTATTATGATTTGTTTCCATACTTGTATAGCTTCCCTAGAATACCACTCCTACCATAACTAGTATTGAGATGTTGTATATATATACATGTACCCCTCTCACATAATTAATCATGGAAAATACAATTCTTCATTGGACAAAAAAAGAAAGCCAAATTTGAGTCCATATCATCTGTGCATAATACAGCACTACAAATCCAACTTAAGGGCTTTAAAAGAATAGCAAATTGGTACAAATATCAACTTTGTTGACAATTTACATCAAGACTATCATCCAAGTAAAATAATGGTAATAACATTCTAACCAAAATTTGGTCACATTAATTAGTTTCCTAATATACCCCAAACATATTGCAGTAGTACACTCACTGCCTCTTCCAAAGAACGGAACCTCAATCACCGTGGAAATGAGAATCATTTTTGGCTCTTTAATTAGTTTCCTTTGCATAATAAAGATGCATGGTGGCCTCGCCTCTTTGTTGTTGTGGTTTAATTTACTGTTCCCTCCCTACAATTTGAAGTTTGAGCTTTAATAAAATACTCCTCTATATCACATTTAATAATAATGGACATAATTAACAAATGCCGAGTAAAGCTTAATTAGTTTCCTAATTACTCCCTCCCTCCTAAAACTTTCTTTCCAGAGCACTATTCCAACTTCACGGGAATTTATATTTATTTGTGTTTTTTCATGGCCTATATGATAAAATAAAATATTCTTGTCAACACTTGTTTTGTTGAACTTTTGATTTAGTTTTTAAATGTGTATGTTTTATTTTTTATTTCTATACCAATATTTAAATAAAATAGATTGAAAAAACTTGGGATTTTTATTCGTTTTGCGCAACGGGAAGAAAGTTTTAGGACGGAGGGAGTACTCCGTACTATATTTGATGTTTCATAACAAAATATCGATGGATTTTTTTGTTAAACGAAACTTTAGTATAACATATTTTTTTACGGAGTAATATATTTATGTATAAATGAAAATAAAATGATTAAAGAAATATATTAGAGATCATAAAAGATAAAAGAAGCTACTAATCTAGCGAGTAAAAGAGAGGCACACATCATAGTGACTAGTGAGTGGGGCGATTGTGGTCCAATGAAAGTTGGAACTAGAGCCATTTGAAGACCACCTTTAGTCACTTAAGTGGCTCTCAACAAATATTACCATTTAAAAAAGGAAAAATTATCTCAAATAATCCCACCTTTTCGCGCTCTTTCAAAAATAATCTCACTTTTCACTGTCACCGGAAATAATCCCACCTTTTCGCATGTGTGCGAGTTTTGGGTCACCGTTAAAAAAACTAACGGCCACTTAACGGAAGTTTTTGAAAATGCCTGTTTTTTTCAAATAAATGAAAGATGAGATTATTTTAGAAAAATTTACTTTTTACTTTTTTAGTTTTGAATTTAAAATTAATATTTTTAAAAATATAACAATACACTCTTGTTAGAGATTTGTCTAACGATTAACAAATTTTGTTAATTGTTTTGGGAAAATATAGTATTGAATTATCAAAAATAATTCAGAGTATCGATCAAGAAAGAAATTACAATAAAAAAAATTGTAGTGATTTATAAAATTTATGGGTTCCGTTTTGGAGAAAAAAACAGATTACAGTAAATACAGATTACAGAAAAAACAAATAATTTGAAGTGCAACTCAAGAAAAATACAGTAAATGCAACTTACAAAAAAATGTACTCCCTCCGTTATCAAAAACACTTCCTATTTCATTTTTTTCACTTCCAACAAAACACTTCCACTTTCTATTAAAAAACCACTTTTACCTTTACTTTTTCATACCCTACCTATTACCTCATACTTTATCTCTAATAATCTATCCATCACATCTTACTTTTACCTATCACATCAAGGGCAAAATTGGAAGTCAACTACAATTTAATACTTCCTTATTTTTACACAAAGTCAAAAGAGGAACACTTTTTTCAAACGGAGGGAGTAATTAGTTATGAAGTTAATAAATTAGCTCTATTGTGTAGAATAATTTATTTTCTAATTATTACCATATTATTGGTTATTGAAAAAAACAATTAGTTTCACTCTAAAAACACTTAAATTTGGTATTTTTTTCCAAAAAATAAAATAAAAATACATTTAAAGAAATTAAAAAACGAAAAAGGGAGAATTTACCTAAAACAATCCCACCTTTCATTTATTTGCGAAAAACGGGCATTTTTCAAAATTTCCGTTAAGTGACCGTTAGTTTTTTAACGGCGACCCAAAACTCGCACACATGCGGGAATGTGGTATTATTTCTGGTGAGAGTGAAAAGTAGGATTATTTTTGAAAGAGCACTAAAAGGTGGGATTATTTTAGATAATTTTTCCTTTAAAAAAAGGTAAAACGTCACTCTGTGCTCCCCACACCCCAGTTCGACAGGACTGTGAGAGAAATAACTCATGGTATAATCTCAATTTGGTCCTTAGAGAGACCGACTCGTGTCAGGTGCGCACAAAGAACTATTACAAACAATAAAACTTCACATTGTCGCCATCGGGATTCGATCCTAGGATCAACGAGCTTGACATCCTCTTTTTTAGACAAGTTGAGTTTGCGGGCAAATATTACCATTTAAGAGTATATAGGTCAGTATTCCACTATACACTAATTATCTAAAGCAACCATATGTGTAGTGCAATGAAAGGTGACTCTCACCGTATTATACATTATTCTCCCATGTGAAGAACTAATATTAAAATTAAAGCAACCATATGTGTAGTGCAATGAAAGGTGTCACTAATATTAAAATTAAAGTTGGTGCATTTTCTTATCGGTGGGGTTTTAGTGACACTGGAGTACGGTGACACTCTGGTACCACTGTTATTTTGGAAGGTAGGAACTGTCAATTTACAAACAGAGCAACGGAAGTATCCCAAAATGACAGTGGCACCACTAATATCACCAAAAGTGGGTGTCCTTAAAACCACACCGTTTTCTTATTGATGTTTGAATTATATTGTGAACACTGAACACTGTATAATGTATGGTGGAAAAAAATATGAACAAATTAAATCATTGGATGATCTGCGAAAAATATGAACATTGGATGAGCCAAAAAATGAATTAAATTAAAACCAGTGAGTCACAAGAAGCACAGTAAATTAAAATATCTACTTTGTCAGTTAATGAGTACGGTTGTCCCCAAAGCAGAGAAAAGAATTGAGAAACCAGTAATGTCGAAACAAAGTTGTAATCTTAATTTATTGCACAAAAAAAGAAAGCCAAATTTGAGTCCATATCATCTGTGGATAATACAGCACTACAAATCCAACTTAAGGGCTTTAAAAGAATAGCAAATTGGTACTAGTATCAACTTTGTTGACAATTTACATCAAGACTATCATCAAAGTAAAGAAATGAAAGTAACATTCTAATCAAAATTTGGTCACATCATTGAAAACCAAGTGATCCAACCTCCTCATCATCATCTTGCCCTTCCCAATGTGCCTCTTTCGTCACGATCTTCGCGATAAGCCTATGGCTACTTCAGTCCAAAACTCAAATGTTCCTATAGTAAAAACGTTCACAAAAAGTCCAAGTTATCGAAAAATCATAGAGTTAAGTATGAATGAATGAACCCCTAAATAAGTATATGAGGTAAACCTCGCGGCCTCGCCTCCTCTTTTGGGGCGACTTAGGCCTAACACTTATTCTTCATACCCCCGTTTCAGAAATGTATGTCATCTAAGGTTGTCCCACACATATTAAGAAAACCATTCGACGTGTATGATTGTGTATAAACTGCCCAAATTAGCCTTCGGATTACAATGCACGAGATCGATCACAAAGAACCAGTGAAGGGCAGAGTTGGAAGAAAATATTTGTTCTTAACAAAGGAAAAACAATTGTTTAGTTTCTCTCGCAAACGGAAAGTACAAGATGTTTTTTAGCATTTTCTCTCCTAAATGTGAGTGTAATTTGGAAGCATACATGAACTATTTCGTTTAAACCACTTGTTTTTACTAAATTCCGTTTGAATGTGTAAGTATACGAGGAGCAAAGGAGTAATCATTATAACACACCTGGGGTTGCCCTGGCCTGTAAGAGTAATAAGAAGAACGCCTTCATGAGCACCATTCTCTTGCATTTTGGAACATACGCAACCAAGGACTAGGTCCCTTCTTTTCCACGTCCCAATGCTTTGGGTACCAAGGGAACTGCCACATCAAGAAGCAACGTTCCGGGTGGGGCATCATGGCGAGGTGCCGCCCGTCCGGTGAACAAACTGCCGCCACACCGAGTGGCGAACCGTTCAGATTAAACGGGTAAACTTCGGTCGGTTGCCCGGCATCGTCGCAATACCTCACTGGTGCAAGGTTCGAGCTAAGGACCTTGTTTAGGACGGTGTCGTCGGGGAAATACGCCCGTCCTTCCCCATGGGCAGCCCAAACACCCAGCGTGCTGCCCGCCATCCCTCTGAACATGATTGCGGGCGATTCTTGTATGGTGACACTTGTGAAGCGGCACTCGAACCGTCCAGACTCGTTGTGTATGAACCTCGGCTGCGACGGGTCACCTCCCGTGCTGTGAACACCGCCTACTTGTGGGCCCGGCACCCAACCTACGGATTTTAGTCGGCAAAAAAAAAGAAAAGTCAGATCATTTCGCAAAGGCTAATTCGGTAAAAGTTGTGTTTTGAAACATGTACCTACCTAACAATGCCATGAGTTGGCATCCGTTGCAAACCCCGAGACTAAACGTGTCGGGGCGGTTAAAGAATTCTTGGAACTGGCATAACAGAGGCTGGTTGAAACGTATCGAAGCCGCCCACCCTTTGGCGGAATCAAGCACATCTGCATAGCTAAAGCCTCCAACAAACACCACCCCTCGAAACTCCCGCAACGAAATCTGACCGTTCAAAAGGTCTGACATGGAGACATCCCATGGTTCAAAACCGGCGGCGTAGAAAGCCGCCGACATCTCTCTGTCCCCATTGCTGCCTTCCTCCCTAACCACGGCAACCTTTGGTTTCAACTTGGCAGTCATGTATTCGCCATTTGTGAAAGCCGGTTTGAAGGATAAATTCCATGAAGGTCCCTGTCGGCTCTTCAATCCGACTTTTTCTAGCTCCACACAAGAGGCTAGCCTTTGGGACTTCTTCTCTAGCTCAAAGCTGGTTTCTTCCCATATATCGCGAAGCGCGGATGTTTTGTCAGTCAAGTAAGTGACATCATCAATTTTCAGATCAACAATCGGAGTAACAGTGACGTGTCCGATGACTTGAACAGTAGTGACACCAGCACTACTGAGCTTTTGCTTGACTAACTCCAAATTTTCCTTGCTAACCTCAAGGATAAGGCCGAGCTCTTCTGCAAACAATGTTTGGAACACGCCAATATCATCTCCCCCTGTCGTCAAATTCACAGAAACACCGCAGTTCCCAGCAAAAGCCATTTCGAGGATGCAAACCAGAAGTCCTCCGTCGCTGATGTCATGGCCGGCAGAGATAAGATCACATGAAATGAGATTCTGGACCGCATTGAAAACCGTTTTAAGGTACGAGATGTCTTCAAGATCCGGACACTCATCCCCGACCTGACCGAAAACCTGTGCAAGAGCGGACCCACCGAGACGCCTCTTTCCCTCCTTTGACAAGTCAATGTGGAGAACTACACCGTCGTCCCCGAGCTTCAAGTCCGGTGTGACAGTTTTTGTTATGTCTGGACATGTTACATAGGTACTGATGACCAAATTTCCGGGAGCCTTTACGACCTCCCCATGTGCATGGGCGGCCATTGAAAGACTGTCCTTCCCCCCATCAATCGCTATGCCGAGTTCAATCATGGCATCTGAAAGAGCATTGGCGGCGTCATACATGGCGGCACCTTCCCCGTCTAGCTTGGCAGCATACATCCAATTCCCACTAGCTTTCACATCTTCAAGAGAAGTAACCTTTGCCCATACAAGATTTGTTAGTGCTTCCCCAACAGCGAGTCTGGCCATTGCTTTTGGATCTAAAAGACCCTTAATTGGTTGCTCCCCAATCGCACAAGCACCTCCGGTAAAATCAGTATAAGTTTGAGCAATAACAGCAACATCAGAGAGGGTGATTTGCAAGGGACCCACAGTTTGTTGTTGTGCCACAAGACCCGTAACGCACCTATCGACTTTTGTGGTCAAGAACCGTTTCGAACCGATAGAAGGAAGCCTCAATATTCTCTTCAAAACTTCCATGACTGTCGTCCCGGGAGCAATATCCAGAGGTTCTAGAGCAATGTCCACATGGTGAAGTTTGAAAGTTTTCTGTGGCATATCTCCTAGAACCTTCTCAAGCTCGAGATCAACTGCCGGTGGAGGAGGTTTGTCTGAATTCTGAAGGGCTAAACTATCTACCAATGTAATATGCCCTTTTCCATCAATTGTTCCAATAACGCCCATCGGTACCCTTTCCCTCATGCAGATGTTCTTCAGAAGACTGCCACTTTCGGGTTTGATCAATATTGCGTCTTGTTCTTGATATTCGGCCCCCCAAATCTCAAGAATAGACATGGTGTGGTCACCAACTACGACTGCCCTTATATCTATCTGGGCACCCTGAGGATGTATGATTTCCTTAACAACATTACAGTTCCCACCAGCACCCTGATCGTGAATGCTGATTATTGGGTTATCCTGTCCCATCTCTACACATGCACGAACGACACGATATAGCTTCTGCGCCATCTCAGCATCGCCACGTTGTACAGCATTGAAGTCTAGCTCAGCATCATTTTGACCACTCACCATGCTCGAAGCTGCCCCGCCTCCCATTCCTATCCGGTAAGCGGGGCCCCCGATCTTAACAACCAACATTCCAATTTCGGGCTCCCCCTTTGATACATGGGTGTGATCGATTTGCCCAATTCCTCCACTGAACATGATCGGTTTCAACCACTCCCTCCTTTCCCCACTCGGGAGTCTCATTCCAAAGGTCCTTGTGTACCCCTGAATCAATGGCTCGCCAAATTTGTTCCCATAATCAGACGCTCCATTGCTTGAATCAATTAGGATTTGTAACGGGGAAGCCAAGTTTGAAGGGTATTGGAACGAAGGGTCTTCCCATGGGGCATATGACCCTTCAATATTAAGGTTACCAACACAATACCCGGCTGTGGATGCAATGACAAAAGAACCCCTGCCGGTGGCATGTGTGTCCCTTATGCGACCACCCGCACCCGTCTCTGCTCCCGGGTATGGAGCCACGGCACATGGGAAATTGTGGGTTTCAGCCGTAAATAAGATATCAAGATCAGAAGCAGTAGTTTCCAGCGGGCTAGAAGAACCAGGGCGGATAGGCCTCAAATGATTGACCGTAAAGCCCTTGATAGCACTCGAATTGTCTTTGAATCCAATGACTGAATTGTTCGGATTTGCTACCAAAGTGTTCTTAACAATTTGCATAAGGGTTTTGTTTACTGGCTGACTGTCTATTAAAAGTTTTCCGGTGAAGAACCAATGCCTGCTGTGTTCACTGTTGGACTGAGCGATATCAAACAACTCCACATTGGTGGGGTCCCGCTTGATGTCATCCCTGAAGAGTTTTGTGTAATACTCCAAATCTTGTTCATCAAACGCCAAACCCATTTTTTCATTTATTTCTTCCAATGCTTCCCGACCCCTCTCCATGACTGGTATGAACCGAACCTCTTCTGGAACTACACTTGTCTCAAAGGAAGTAAGCTTCTTGGTGTAAACACACTCTGTCATTCTATCATGCACCATGGCTGCAAATTCATTGATTTGACTATCAACCAATGGACTACTCCCTGGCTTGAGACGCAACAGGTATCTTCTAGAACGCTCCATCCTACTAATCTCCGTCAACCCACAAGCTTGACAAATCGAAACCGCATTCGCAGACCAAGCAGTAGTGAAAGACAACCTTGGACCGACTTCCACAATAACTGATTCTGGACTACTCTGAAGAAAACTCCCAGTCCCGAAATTCTCGGGCTCATATGTTTCTGCTAAAATCCACTTCAGAATGCCCTTTTTCTCATTAGGAAGATCAGAATTCAGCCCGACATTGAAACACTGCTCTGTTTCCAAGCCAATTATTTGGTGACAGATTTTGGTTTGAACCAACTTTAGAAGCTCTTCAGTTGCACTGTCTTGTAGCAATGGGACTCGGAAAAAATGTACGACATTTCCTGCCGGTCGCACAACATTGCTCGCATTCTCCTCACCTAGCAACGTGTCTACATTCCCAGAGACTACTGCTGAAAGATGTTTTTTACTTGTATTTGCACTTCTCTTGCAAAACGTGAGAGGGTATTGTCTTCTTGGAGCTACACCCCAAAGCAAGTTGTGTGTTCCCCTGATTGAATGCCTTGGTAAAGCTAGCTTCTGTCGATTTGAGCCCTGCAATTGATTGATTTTGAAAAATCAAAATTAAACCATTATTAATTTGATGATTGGCATTATAAAAACATGTAGACTTACAATAAAAAAGTCTCTCGCTGTGATGTTCCAAGCTGTAGCCTCCATAGCAACTACCTAAAACTAAACAATCAAAAAACTTCAACTGTTACAAGAAATCAATTTCGTTAAAAAAGAAAGTCGAAATTGTATGAGGATGAGTTCGGGTAAGCAGTGACAAAACCATAAACCAAATGTGGGGAGGGGGGAGGAGTTACCATTGATACGAGATTGAAATATGATACAATTCTTTTTTTAAAAACCTATAAAAAAATAACAATATTTTGATAAACTCAATGCAATGTTACACTTCAAAAGTATATGATAGAGTAAAATTACCCCCAATGCATCACAATCATGCTCTTATATATTCAGAAATAGTTGAATACTAGCTTAGCAGCTTGACATTTCGATTTTGCCACAAAAAAAATGAATTGTTTTATTACATGAGGTGATTACTACTAATCAAATGAAGAATAACAACTAATAATGGCAAGAGGAGAATAAACACATAAACCTAACATGTGAAACGGCAGACTGATTTATCTAGTCAAACCTAGTCAACACCTGAGTAGATTAGTGCCTATGTCTAACCTGTGGACCGTGCGAGCTGCAAAGGTGCTCAGTGACGGAGCCGGGGAGGCGAGGGGGGAGCTGAAGCTGTCGCCTGCCAAGACCTAATCTTCGCCGCGCAGCGCCGGTGGTCTGTGAAGCAACGGTGGCTGGCGGGGATATGACAAAGAGAAAACGATCGTTGGCGGCCGGAGAAGAAAAAAACGATTGGAGATGTGGCGGAAGAAGGAGCGGAGGAGGAAATTGAAGAAGTGAGTGTCCTGAGAGCATATTTAGGTTAAGGACTTAAGGTTATTTAAAATAAAAATAACTCTTCTCAATATATAATTATACTGACACTCATGCGTTGCACGATTTGTATTACATGTTGGGGTGTAAACGAACCGAATCGAATCGAATACCGATATATTTGAATTTGTATTTGTTTAATTTTTTCGAATACAGATCCGAATCCGAATATGAGACGAATTCAAAATAAGATTTGAATAAGTATTTGATTAATATTCGAATAGTTATCGAATCATAAACGAATATTTGAATAATCATACTATGTAATTTATATGATGGACTAACATCAATTTGTAATTTAACTTACGATACTCTTTATACTATACTATATTCTGTATATAAAAACATTAATACATTTGCATCTTACACAAATTATATTTTATAAAATATAACTATTAAAAATCATATGCTTTAGATTTTTGTGTTACGTTAATTTATTAAATTCTTAGTATTTTAAATACATTTTATACTATATTACTTTGCTTGACTTTTGATGTTGAAAATATGGTCTGTATATATACACATATATTCGAATATTCGAATATAATCCGAATCGAATATATCCCTATTTGTATTTGTATTTGATTATTATTCGAATCAAAAATAATATTTGAATTTGAATTTGAATTTGTATTTGAACAACGCGAATTCGAATCATCATATTCGAATACGAATCGCGAATCGAATTTAAAATATTTGATTTGTTTACATCCCTAATTACATGTATAAGAATATATGTCAAATAAAGGTATATTGTTATTTTCAAAAGAACATGTATTTCTTTTTTCGTAATATCTTCCTACATAAGTATTCTATTAGAATATAAATAACTAATCGAATTTATTTATTTTTATATTTAAATAAAGATAATGAATATTATTTTCTGTTACAAGAAATGAATATTAATTAATTTTGTTTAGAATCTTTAATTTTTGAACCGAAAAAATGAAAACGGGACGAATTTTCCGACAGAATGCACACAATATATTTATAGAAAAGAAAACAAAATATAAAGAAATTTATTTATATAAATTTTATTTTATTACTACAATATTAGAAAATCGGAAAATGATACAATTGCGCTGAACACAAAAAACTTATTTATATAAAGTTTTAGTCTATCACCCCAATGTTTTATATTAAAAATATATAATAATTATAAATATACAATAATTGGATGAATATTTATTTTTTAGTAATATCTTACTTCTCCCGATTGCATATATTATATGAGAAGAAATATATATTTATACAAAATACAGTACTTACCATTTTTACACGTTCATGTTTGTAAATTATAATATTTTTTTGAAATAAATCATTCTAATCTCACCCATACTTTATTAATTTGTAGTTTTTTATTTTATTTTCATATTTAAATGGTACCGTATTTTATTTCCATACTATAATTCCCCAGTGGTGCACTACTATTCAATTTAACAACTAAAATACATAAATGATAAGTTTGTGAATATTTTGTTTGTGACTCTAGCATTACTCATACTTAAATGGTGTAGCATTTAAATAAAAATGAAAACATGCTTAAAATGGGAGGAAAACATTGAGGCAAAATAATTAAACTACCATTTGTGTTGTCAACACTTTCCATATATGAGTCTCAAGTATAGGCGAGAAAACATTGAGGCAACATTCTCCTCTTTTTAAATAAAGTATAGATTATATGTATCATTATAATTTATATATATTACTCCCTCCGTTCTCAAAAACACTTCCTCTTTCATTTTTTCCACTTCCAACAAAACACTTTCCTTTTCTATTAAAAAACCACTTTTACCCTTACTTTTTCATACCCTATCTATCACATCATACTTTTTCTCTAATAATCTATCCATCACATCTTGCTTTTACCCATCACATCAGGGGCAAAATTGGAAATCAACTATAATTTAACACTTCCTTATTTTTGCCCCAAATCCAAATGGGAAGTGTTTTTCCAAACGAATGGAGTATTATTTATGGGATTAATAATTTAATACTATTATAATCCTTTATATATTACTCCGTAAAAAGGAGAGTTGAGCTTCCATAATTACGACATTTGGCACGCTGACTAGACAATTTTTTTAACACCTCATCATCCATGTCAGCAAGAGCATTGAATGGAAGTTTCCTTCTTAAAACTCTTAATATATATAATTACTTAATTATTTTAGAAATAAAATTATATATTAAATTTCAAATGAGGAAAACTTTGGCAAAAATGAATATAATTGTATGATTTTTCGTAACTCATTAAATTATTCATACATATTTTTTTATAAATTATAAAATAATGGGAAATTCTATGTGGAGTTTCATATAAATATTTTCACTAACATGGAAAATATTTAAAGGAATAAGGAAAAGAACATATGCAGTTACAAATATTTTAATTAATATTGAAAATATCCGACAAGATAAATTTATTTTTATGTAAATTTGTAAAACTACCCACCACTTTCCATTTTTACTTTTTTTCAAAATAAGGATTTATATAATGATTAGTACATATGCTTCATAAGTAACCCGAAGCTTCTATTTTTGAAAAACTATCATTGATAAAGAACACCGATTAAAATTTTGTCCCTGAGTGATGTTGAATAATAGTAATAATAATGATGATGACAATGGTATTTTAATGATGTTTAAAATATAAAAATTTTATAGTGGATTAAAATATACATAAGAAAGGCATTATGGACCAAAGCTTTTATTCTAATATACATCAGAAAGGCATTATGGACCAAAGATTTTATTCTAAAAAGTTATGTATAAAAAATAAAAAATATATTTATAACGCATTCCAAAAAAAGTACGAAAAATGTACTTTTTCATGAGATAAATATTAGTATAATTTTATGTTAGATATTACATATACATATAGAGACGGATCGTCATTGACTATATCCACGCATAATCAAATCCATTTAAGAAGTACTCTCTCCGTCCCGAAAAGTCTTTCCTGTTTCATTTTTTGCGCATCTCATAAAACACTTCTACCGACATCTAAAATGTCTAAAATTTACAACATTTCTTCTTTATTGTGGGTAGAAGTTATTTTGAATTTTTTTTGGCATTCAAGGCAGGATAGAAGTGCTTTATGGGATGCGCAAAAAATGAAACAGGAAAAACTTTTTGGGACGGAGAGAGTAATATATATGCTATGTGACGTCGTGACACATGGTATTTGTATTTGGAATTAAATATTTTATATTTCCAATACATTTTTTCTAAAAAATTATCTATATAGTGCTTCAAGCAGATAACAATTTACACTAAATTCATCAAGCTTTTGCGTGCATAATAGACAAAAACATAATTGACCTGTATGTGCTACCATCAATTCATCAAAATTGTGTACCTATTGTAAAGTTTATACGTTAACGAAGAATAAGATTGCATTCATCAATGCCCTCTTGCACGGATAGGGACACAAGCTTTTTCTGATGGGATACTCAAACTTGGAGATGGAAAGCTTGGAAATGTGATTGATGGAACAAGTGACGTTGATATTCTACCCGAATTCTTGATTCTAGACATAAGTTATGTTCTCAAGAATAACTTATGAAAATAAAACCAAATGTTTGGGATCCTAAACCATAAAATAGTTTTAAAGCGCAGGGGGGAGGGGGTGGGGGGACGAATGTTATCAGTGTTATTGTAGGTTTTGTGAAATCAAGTCGGAGAAAGGTTTATATATCCCATATGAATTTGGCACCATCCGGTCTAGGACTACCCTAAAGTTCCAAAGAAGACAATTCCGAATGGTTTTATGTTTTGCAATGACATTGAACAAAAATCAAGGTCGAATATATTGTCATTTATTGGATTATTTTGACCAAGTCATTGTTCACTCATGATCAGTTTTATGTTTCTATTTCATAAGTTAATACAAAGACGCGATTAAAAATATTTTTTCTAGATGAAAATGAAAACTCTTACAACCATACCAAAAATATTTTACACCCTGTGGTTTTTTTTAGGAAATTTAGTATTAAAAGAAACTATGTTAAATACTTTGTCTTTTTTCTATGTTATTAAAAATTTCTGAGAAATATATTATCTTTATTTCAAAAAAATATTGTATTGAAAAAATTTCAGAATCGAATAAGATTGTGTTCAACCCATGCATGGCATGGGTCAAAATGCTAGTTATATGTATAATTATAAGAATGACAAGAAATAAATATATGGGGAAAGGGGCGGGGAAACGGAGCAATGGTTAGAAATAAATATTCTGCACAACTTAAATAGGGTAAGCATTAATATTTCGCACAATTAATTTTTTACAATTCTTACTATATAGTATTTTTTGTTAGGCATGTAAATATTCATCCAAATATATTTGTAGAATAAAATTTAATAAAAATACTTATATAAAAAAGGTAAGAATTTAAAATAGCAATTTATTCTCGAAATAAATTCCTTTATCCCTTTATATATTAAAAAGGAGAGTTGGGTCTCTAAGAACTTGACATGTGACATGCTTATGTAGCCTTTTTTTAAGACTTAACACGCCACCTAATTTTTCTTATGAAATTAAAAATTGGATAAGAAATATTTGAGTGAACTTAAAAATGGAAAAAATGTCTTTCTTTTTATGATAACTAGTCTTCTGACCCGTGCCATGCACGGGGTCAAAAGAAATTTATGTAGATTCTAAATTATTTCACTGAAATTTATTTTTTGGAATAAAGAAAATATATTGCTCACATGATTTTTAAGACTACAAAAGAAAAAAGTCAAAGTAAAATAAATAATATTTGAGGAACAGAATGTAGAGTTAACAATGTTTATTCCAATACCAAATTTTCTGAAAGATCTCAGGGTATACAACATTTTTGGTATGGTTGCAAGGATTTCCATTGTCATCTAGAACTAATATTTTTAATCTTGTCTTTGTCTTCACTCGTGAAATAGCAAAATATAATTGACTATATGTGAACACTGACTTGGTTAAAAATAATCT